TTAACAAAGTCTGTCAAATCAGGTGTGTCGCTTTAGAATCGCCTTTCCTTGTGACATGCCCACTCCTCCGCAGAGACACCTACTTGAGCTGGATACGCATTCATCAATTTACGCAGCTCATTTACACACTTTTCCTGAAGATAGAAGAGTTTGTTGAATCTGACGTGACATGTTCGTACGAACCCTTTGTACGAACAAAAGTAAGAGAAATTTAGGATAAGAATACGAACATGTTCTTGCATGAGGCCCAATATTTCTTCTTGTTATGAGAACTGAAAAAGCCTGAAGATTGCAGGAATTTTATTCAGTTCTTTTTAAGGTTTGATTTTACTCAAGTAAAGTGTTCTGCTGTTAAATTAAATTATAATGTTTTGTACCTGGGGTTTATTGTTATTTTTTTGAAACAGTGAAAATCACCTGAAACTGGGAAATATTTATGCAGCTTTGTGTCATTTGTTGATTACAGTGTATTGTTGGATATTGATTCTATCTCCGTCTGTGTGTGCATGTGTGTGTGTGCGTGTGTGTGTGTGTGCGTGAGCAGGGGGGAAAGATTCCCATTCGGTGGACAGCACCGGAGGCCATCGCCTTCAGGAAGTTCACCTCAGCCAGCGACGTGTGGAGCTACGGCATCGTCATGTGGGAGGTGGTGTCCTACGGGGAGAGGCCCTACTGGGACATGAGCAACCAGGACGTGAGTCAGCACCACCTTCTCACGAACGTGCACTCACCTGAAGAAATTTATAGTTATTATAGATTAGTACTGATGTTAGAAAACAACTCCGGAGTATTAGGGTTTCCTCTTTATAATATTTTTATAATGTTTGATCTGTTATGTGTTAATTGAAATAGAGTAGATACATGTCCGAATCATAACACATAAGTGAACCGTTATGAAACATTAGAGTGAGGTCTTTGTCTGAATGCCTGTGATTCAGCCGTAGGTCAGTAGGGGGCGAACTCAGGCGTTGAAGAATCGTGTATAAAAACAGGTACTTCCTGAATGTGAGGCAGTGTGGTTTCGCTTGTCAGTCCGGTGACAAATAAACCTCACTCAGATCCAGAATTCTGGTGTTGTTTGACCTTATTCCTTTTACAAATCAATTTATTTAACTATTGTGTTTTAATCTGACTTCAGTCAATATTGAACACGTATTTCTTACACACCTGTAAACCGAATCCACGTGGACCGGGTCGCACGTCCCGGTTTGGGGAGCAGCCGGGAGTTCCCCCGGAGCTTCCGGTGCTTTGATTTCTCATGCGACGCGTTGGACGTGCGTCTGTTCTGCTGTCTTTATCTCCTCGCTGCAGATGTCGGTGCAGCTGTTCTACTTCTCACCACCTTATTTACACACACACACACACACACACACACACACACACACACACACACACACACACACACACACACACACACACACACACACACACACACACACACACACACACACACACACACACACACACACACACCCCACAAATCCATACTGCGAAGCCTCCCTCCTCGCACTCACAAAGGCGCTCGCAGGAAGGGCTTTTTTATGGGCCTTGTTACCTGTCGGCTATCTGCGCGGCGCAGACTCTCCAGCTCCAGCTCCCAGCTTTGTTGGAAAGAAAACAGAAACCTCTGGGTTCCTCCTCGCTGCGCAGAGAGCTGCAGCGATGTGGACTGCACTCCTCCGCTCTATTCTCTAAAGAATATCTGCTCTGTGTTGAGCCTCAAAAGAAGACTTGTAAGGCTGATGGCAATAAAGCGAGAGAAGAACCAAAATGAAAAATGGCATTAATGTATGTATAACTTTCACAACAAAACCCACATGCAGTAATGAAAGGATCAAAGTGGAGACTCTCCATTGTTCCCAAAAGCCTTTGTGCCACAGTCATTGCTCAATAAGCAGCAGAGTCAACAAATATGAGATATAAACAGAGGTAGTGGCAGGCTGGAGGCACGACACAAAATCAAAGGACAAGCAGCTGGAGGAGGGGAGTRCTGCAGAAATGAATTATTGTTCCCAAATGCCAGTTTTTTCATTATTGAGGGGAGTTAAACCCATACAGAGCTTATGGAGGCAGACGCTGTTGCCAGGCAGAACCGGATCAACGAGCCGACGTTGTTCTTCCTTCGCTTATTGTTTCCCCCGTCAGTCACGCCGGTTCGAAGTGACAAATTTGATGGTACGTCTTTTAGAGTCGGGTGTAGATGTTGAAAAGAAGAATGGAGTATTTGACAGCGTGAGCCGAGCGGCTGTCAAACGCGGGACACAACACGGGAACTGCTAATTATTCTCCCGCAACGCCAACAAGCGCTGAACAGAGTCGTCTCAGTGCGAGGTACTCTCAGAGGGATGCAGAGACCGTCGACATGGGCTTTGTTGTTTCACGCGCAGAAATATCCCGTTTAAATTAGTTTACAATGAAATGTAAAACAAACTAAGTAAAACCCTCTCATTACATGACGGGAGTCGCTGCACACAGTGAGTGACCTTCTGTTTAAAAATACAAAAATTACATTTATTCAGTTCAATTTAAAAATACTTTATTGATCCCAGTTGTTCACGTGATATTTTGCTAACAGGCAAACACTTATCAGTCGAGTCGGTTAATCTGACTCAATAGGGCTATTGCAGATAATCAACTAGCTCAGTAATGTTAGCACTTAGATCAGGCATGTCCAACTCTGGTCCTCAAGGGCCGGTTTTCTGCAAGTTTTAGATTTGTCCCTGCTTCAACACGGCTGATTCAAATTTACCTTCTCAGTTTGTCATCAGGGTCTGCAGAGGCCCACTGATGAAGCACTCCTCAGGTTCTGCTGTGTTGAACCAGGGCAGCACCTAAAACAGGCAGGACACCGGCCCTTGAGGACCGACTTTGGACACCTCTGACTTAGATACTTCAAATTAAAAGATGTTTAAAAATATGAAAAAATAATTAAATTAAAATATATAAAAACGTATTTATACTAAAATGGTATTTATGCATAAA